ACGAATACAAATTTATGTGAGCAAAAACCAAATATACAAACAGACAGTGTTTCTTATGTAAGTAGGCTGTTTTACCTTTGCGCTGTCTGTTTGTATATTTGGTTTTTGCTCACATAAATTTGTATTCGTCTTTTTGCAGAATATTCTGTATGTTATTGTTTTCTTCTTAGGCCGTCATATACGAACCATTCCTTGATCGTCAGGAGCTGAAATGGAGTGAATACAATAGAAGTGATTGTTAAATGTTGTTTGTAAGAATGAAAGTGTTTTTATACAACAATCACTTCTATTGCTGTCGCTACATTTCAGCGCCTGACGTCAGTTGCCTGACCTGATTCATCTGGATGAAAATATCTCAATATAATGTCTGCATATAGACAATTACCACTTAAAACAGCCTGGTGAAGTGGTGTATAATTATGCTTGTCTGCAGAATTCACATCAGCTCCAAGTTCAAAAAGATTTTTGACCATCTGCATGTTACCTGTAAAATGTACGAAGTTCTTATGAAACAAACTTTTCTTCTAAATTAATCGATTGAAAACTACCATTACGAGCAGCCAAAGACAAAGTTGTATAGTTTTCGACAGTTGTAGCATTTATATTTGCTCCTTGTTCAATTAAATATTTAAAAATGTCATATATGCCTGAAATGTTTGGCAAATAAATAGTTGGCGTTTCGACCATGTTATTTCCATTTTCAATAATTACCATATCGAGCGGCGTTATGGAGTGGTGTCCATTTATCATTGTTTTCGGTATTTGCCTTTGCCCCATGAGTGATTAAGTATTCAACCACTTCCAATTTTCCTGAAATATTAAACAGAGAAACAGTTGACTTAACTACTTTGGCGATCACGTTTTATATTTTCAGTTTTCAAATATATAGACAATTACCATCTTGAGATGCCCAGTGAAGTGGTGTGTTATTATTTCTGTCTTTAGAATTCACATCAGCTCCATGTTCGACAAGGTGTTTGACAATCTGCATGTTACCTGTAAAATGTACGAAGTTCTTATGAAACAACCTTTCTTCTAAATGAATCCATTGAAAATTACCATTCTGAACAGCCACAAACAAAGTTGTATACTTTTCGATAGTTGTAGCATTTATATTTGCTCCATGTTTAATTAAATATTTGAAAATTTCAAATTTGCCTGAAATGTTGTGCAGATCAATAGTAAGCCATCCGACCATGTTTATTTCTATTTTCAAAACCTATATATATATATAGGCGATATAATCAATAATTACCACGTTCAGCAGCCTTATGGAGTGGCGTCCATTTATCATTGTTTTCGGCATTTACCTTTGCGTCATGAGTGATTAAGAACTCAATAATTTTGAGTCTATCTGAAATATTAAGCAGAGAAACATTCAGCATCAGACCATTCGCGCGTGATATTTTCAGTTTTCAAACGTATAAACAAATACCATATCGAGCTGCCACGTGTAGTGGTGTATCATGTTTTTTATCTCTAAAATTTACATCAGCTCCATGTTCGATAAGACGTTTGACAATCGGCATGTTACCTGTAAAATGTACGAAGTTCTTATGAAACAAATTTTTTTCTAAATGAATCGATTGAAAATTACCATTCTGAACAGCATAAAACAATGGAGTGATATTTTGAACAGTTGTGGCATTCATATTTGCACCATTGTTGATAAGATATTTAACTAATTCCGCTGAGCCTGAAATATTCAGAAGAAAAACAGTTAGCATCACACATAGAAATTATCGGTCAAAGACTTACATCCTATATGAAATTGACGTTTATGTCGTGTGGAAAAAAGTGACTGACTGATTGGCTAGCTAAAATCGACTGAAATTGAAAATTGTTAACTGAAGTCGTCTATCCAGTCGACTTAAGTCGTCTATGTATCTCATTTTAAACAGATGACAAATTTGGGACATTTTTGTCTATAGTCAACTGCGATTGATGTTGAATTAAGTTACATTTTTCTCTACTATGATTGACTGAAAAATCAGACAAAACAACTTCAATCTCAGTTGGCTTTAGCCAAAAACGTCCCAAATTAGTTAACTCATTAGTCAGTCAGTAATTTTCCACATGGAGAATTGGTCAAAATCTAGGTCAAAATACACTGGATTATACAGATTTCTTATAAACGTGAATTTTATATAGGATGTGTGTGATAATTACTAACACTTGATATTTATGGTTTTCAAACATATAGAAAATTACCATGTAGAGATGCCATGTGTAGTGGTGTAGCATGACTGTTATCTGTAGAATTCACATCAGCTCCATGTTCAACAAGATATCTGACAATTTCCCTGTTACCTGTAAAATATACGTAGTTCTTTTGAAACAACCTTTCTTCAAAATTAGTCGATTGAAAATTACCATTCTGAACAGCCAAAAACAAAGGTGTTTGGTTGAATACAATTGTATCATTTATATTAGCTCCATGTTCAATTAAATATTTAAACATTTCATATGTGCCTGAAATGTTGTGCAGATAAATAGTTAGCGATCCTACCACGTTATTTCCATTTTCAAAATCTATATTCCAAGCACTGAAATTGCACTGTTCACCCGGGGTTTTGACACCGTGCGGAGTGAGAAACGAAGAAAGTACATATAGCGTATATGTAGTGTATACGCTTCATGATGCTATGCGTCTTATCCTTTATTCCATTTTTCATCCATCTGCATACATTTTAGCAAATGTTGCTACACGCTACATAGCAAACAGATGAAAGAGGAGAATAAAGAATAAGACACAAGGCAAAAAGCGTATACACAGTACACGCATACATGTACTTGTATTTCTTCTCATCTCGCTCCGTATTCTATTTCGTGTTTTCGTAACTTACGCACGGTATCAAACCCCCGGGCGAACAATCCAATTTGAGTGCTCGGGTAGCTCCATGAGTGATGAGGTATTCAACCATTTAATATGTACTTGAAATATTATGCAGAGAAACAATTGGCTTAACTATTTGGCGATCATGCTTGATATTTTCAGTTTTCAAGTTTTTACCATATCTAATTGTCCAGTAAAGTGGTGTTTGATTATAGATGGTTCTAGAATTCACATCAGCTCCGTGTTCGACAAGATATTTGACAATCTGCATGTTACCTGTAAAATATACGAAGTTCTTATGAAACAAA